GGAGCCCAGGGAGTTCTGGTTGACATTATATTGATAGCCAGGGTGAGTCCCTCTTTTGTGGACCTGTGGCACGTGAACAAACTCTCCATTTTACCCATTTTCATCCTATTCTCCCTTAGCTTCTCTTTACCTTTCTTCAGTGGCTAAAGCAAGGAAGACTCATTGCAAAACCTTTTAAACTCTCTTCAAGACTTAGTCAGACTTTAAGTCTGAAGTCAGCTGAGGTAAGGAAGGAGTTGTTGTAAGATCAGCAGTCAACTTTTTGCAAGAATAATAAGTAATGATATGGTCATAAACATGCAAATGTAACACAACGAACAATCAATTGTCTGTACACAACGGCAGTCTCTTTAAATGACATGTAAAAGGCGCAGGGCCCATGCAGTTGCACAGCAGGAAATGTCCTATATGTACTTCAGGCTGCCAGTGTTTTCACTAGTTTATGTCTTTAACTGCAAGGACAGAAGTAAGTAACAGTCTTTTTATCTGGATTTATTGAGTATAATTTCATTATCTCAGAGATTTTTATAAAAAGAAGAATTCTATTATATCCCTGATTTATCAACCTCCCAACAACAATATGGGAAGTTTACTTGAAGGATTATTTTTTATTTTTTGGAAAGAATCTACTGTCATGTGTGGATCATCATATTGGAATGAGAAAAGTCAAGGTTGCCAAATATGCAAATGTCAAAGTAGTATACTCAGTATGACCACTAGGTGGTAGAACATATACATGCAACAGGTCTGCCAATGACATCATTGATCAACTTGACAACTGAGAAACCTTTAATATTTTTAAATGAGCCTATGTGTGATAGGATTACATACTCATAACATACGTTTGCCGACAATACAATAGGTTTTCCTATGTACATTTGTTAGACATATGACGTCACCTCAAATTCACTGGGGTGTGTTGCAATCATCAAACTGTCATCTAGATGAGGAAGCTTCCAGTGGAAATACGACAACTGCAAATATCTTAAATTATATGATCCGATTCAAGGTCAAAATCCCTTTCTGATTCTGTTGAACGGGGCATATTCAAAACAAATGTAAAAATCACTACTTATTCAACATAAATAAATTATTAGCCCTACAAGATATTATTAATCTAGGCCTATATAATAAAATACATAGGCCTGAGCCTATATCGCGCATAACTCGATTTTTTGCGCAAGAAGAAATGTACAAATACCAGTTACTCCTTTTAAATATTTTACTTGGTATGCCTATTGTAGCCCTATTGATTTAGGTGACTTTTTTTCATAGAATGCAAAAATCAGCTGATGCATGGCCTGTATCTAGTGTTAATAGTACATCAGGTCTTGGCCTACTGATATCACTAACTTTCAATTAATATGAGTCAATGTAAAAGCGGATAGTGGATAAACGCTTCAGTGACATGGCTAGAAGTCGTAGGCATATATTATGAGAGCCGCTGAAGCATTCTGTAAACCATCAAATATTCACGCTCGTGGTCTCTCAAATATAATTTGTGCATTGTGGGCTGAATGAATGTTGTTGTTTATTAACATGTTATGACTATCATCACGATCAAAAATTCAATTATGTACGCCTATAATAATAACAATACCAATATTAACTATACTATGAAATCTATTATTATTATTAGTCTATTTTTAGAGGTATGCCTTGGCATAGGCTATAAACTACATCTGGTAGTATCATTCTTTCTCAGACAAGACAACAATATTCTGACCAAATACAATTTAGACAGGCTAGTGCATGAATGATATGCCTTAAAGTAAACTAGTATTATGGTGGTTCGTGTTAATCATAAGGCCTACATCTACAAGACACACACACACATTGCTGGACTTAATTTCGTTTTTAATTATATCCCAAGCCAAATGCACTATAACATGGTGATCTGAATAAATCTGAAATATTAGTTTAAAATAGTAGTCTATATGTAAGTAATAGCATAACAACAGGCCTATCACTGCACGAGGACGAATTTATTTTGACATCCACTCCCTACGATGCAATTGCCATTACGAAAATAATTATTCCTCTTACATCAATGGGCTGCAATATTCAGCCTATCGGCCTACAGACCATGTCGCCGATACAAGAGGACTGTGATATAGGCCTACATGTGGCAAACCATGAAAAACATAATGTGCGTGTATTTAAATTAAATGGCCTATGCGCACTTGCTTTAAAACGACGTAACATACAGGAAGAGAAGCATGTAGCCTATATCATTATTTCACGGGAAGATGCTCCTCAGAAAGAACCCCATACATTATGCAAAAACTTCTCTACAATATATCGCTCAGTTCTTTGTACAGTCTATGAGGAGTTAATGGAATCAACATTAATGGAATCAACATTAATGGAATCAACATTAATGGAATCAACTTGTCAATGAGTGAAGCTTACCTGTGATTCAGGTGGCTGGCATCTACATTAGAGCAAATGTAGGCGTCTGTGTGGATAGGGAGAAGAAGGCCACCCAGGTAGGCTGTATTAGTATTAACCTTGTTCTCATTATTATGAGTCAGATTGGCTACAGTTTTGTATGCCTATATATTGGTGTGCATTGGTTAAGACACAAATAGTCTGGCCTACTCTCATTGCAAGGGGTAGTTTTCTTTTCATGGTTATTTTCATGGTTTGGCTTGTGAGGGGTTAACCTTTCAAACAGCATACCTGTGATTCAGGTGGTTGGTATCCAGTAGCAGTGCATGGGTAAAATCACTGGGAAGCCAAGCCAATAAAAAAGCCATATTACAACCTATGTTGTGATACTGTATTTGCGTTGTTCATATGCCACCGTGATAAACAATAAGGCCGTGACAACCAAAAGACAACAGTCACACAGTGGCAGAATAAATTGAATTACACAAATGTTTGTTTCATCACAAAACCAGACAGCAACATCTGTCCGGTGAAGTCCACAAAACAAATATTGCACATAAACAGATATATGACCTGCAGCAAGGTCAAGCAAGTTCATGTTTACAACAGTTTACTAAACAACTAGCTACTGATTTAGCACCACAGAGTTAAAGCAAGTCAGCACAAAGACATTTACATTATTTAGCAGACGCTCTTATCCAGAGCGACTTACAGTTAGTGAATACATATATATATATTTTTTTGTTTGTGTTGTTTCATACTGGCCCCCCGTGGGAAACGAACCCACAACCCTGGCGTTGCAAACGCCATGCTCTATCAACTGAGCTACATCCCTGCCGGCCATTCCCTCCCCTACCCTGGACAACGCTGTGCGCCGCCCATGAGTCTCCCGGTCGCGGCCGGCTGCGACAGAGCCTGGATTCAAATCAGGATCTCTAGTGGCACAGCTAGCACTGCGATGCAGTGCCTTAGACCACTGCACCACTCAGGAGATAACAGACAACAAGAGCACTGCCTCCGCTATTCCAGCACCATTTCAACTTAAACATTTACATCATCAAATCAACAAGGCTATATATGCTTAGTTTAATACACTGAAATAAACTTAGATACCAAATATCATGTGGCGGTCCATGGTACTGATTTCTGTGTGTGCTTGTGTGCACGCAATTTAAAAGAATAAAGTTAACTCACCCTACTTGTAGACTAGTTGAACGCCAATCCCATCCTCCTCTCTTTCATGTTGGCAGAACGGTCTATGGCTCTGTCATACAATACGCTTTCAGTTTTCATTTTCATAGGCTACCTAGCTAAAATGCTTGCTAGCCTTCCTCGCATGGGCAAAAAACGAATCAGCTAAGTTAGCTAGCTAGTTAACGTGAGCCTACTAGGCTACATCTAGGCTACATATTGAACTTAAATCGTCTCAGGCTGGTGGCACAATATATGAATTTATGGTTAGATCAGAATCGCCATCATAATCATTGGCCTGTACAGAGAATTCAGTCAAAACCACAAGTCCAAATCCACATCTCCATCCATGGCTTAGAAAAGGGAAGATTTAGCAAGCTAGGTACTGCAGAACATCAACACAAGCAGACCAGAAACAGACAAGTTTGTCTGACAATGATGACATTTACCTTAGGATGTGATTTGATTGGTGTGAAGTCAAATCCAAACTGGCCTCCCTTGGGGGGCGTTTTGCTGTGCCTGGACAACCCACAGTTGAGCTCAGCTCAATGGTGATTGGCTAATTATTTTATATATTTTTAACAAGGGAGGCCAAATGCCTGCTGGCATTACTCAATCAAATTCTATAGCAGCAACATGTCATACTCTTTTGTTACAGACAGCATCAGATACATGGGCTAAACAGAGGGGCGCTGTTTCCCCTCACTCTGATGTTTTCAGACACTTGCGAATTGACGGAAAATGATGAAAACACAGAAACAAAACATACATTATTTTATCAATTTTATTGGTCAAATTTTGGGGGAAGCCTGGCTTCCCTTGGCATCCATGAATACACGACACTGTTGGTATCTACAGTAGAGCGAACTGTAGACCTACAGCTGTATGTGTGGATTGGGCGTAGTCAGTCCCCTGTAGCTCAGTTGGTAGAGCATGGCGCTTGCAACGCCAGGGTTGTGGGTTCGTTTCCCACGGGGGGCCAGTATGAAAAGGAATGCACTTAACTGTAAGTCGCTCTGGATAAGAGCGTCTGCTAAATGACTAAAAATGTTAAAAGAAGGCTCACAACATCAGCCACCCAGGTAGGCTGTATTAGTATTAACCTCGAAGTTCAATTTATTATGAGTCAGATTGGCTAAAGTTGTGTATGCCTATCTATTGGTGTGCGTTGGTTAAGACAAAAATAGGCTGGCCTACTCTCATTTAAAGAGGTCGTTTTCTTTTCATGGTTATTTTCATGGTTTGGCTTGTGAGGGGTTAACCTTTCAAAAACATATTTATTGCCAAACCGCTGTGAGCGTGTCGTAATTTACGGTGGCCAATCACCACGCGACTTTCCTCTCCTCTTGTCCAATAGGAAATGGAGTGGGATCGCTGTCAGTCACAGGTGATGTTGGATTTGCAGGAAACGAGAGAAGGCTTAGGCTGATGCAGGAGCTAAACGGAGGACAATAATAGTACCTCGGGATATAGGCTGAACACGGTATTTCCATCGCCTTTTCAGTGGGAATGCAATGAGATACCAAACAAGGGAGGAACAAAAAGCAGTAATAGCGCTTCAGGTGGGATACGATGCCGAAGAATTGACATTGGTCCATATCTACACTTTTTGCAAGAAATAAACTTCGCTTTTGAAAATGACATTTCGCAGCAACTCCTTAATGCCTTTCTCTATCCAAGCCATTTTGAACAAAAAAGAGTACAGTGGACACTTGCCAGATTTGGACATCTGCTTCTCGAAGACTGCGTGTTGGAAAATATTTGGGGAAATGGATACTGGTTCGGAGGACTTTCCCGCATCGTGTAGAAGTGACGAGAAGGCTTGCATGGTCAGCAATCAGAAAAGTTACGACTCCGATTCAGGTCTCAGTGACGACAATGACAGCAAGACGCTGGCCGTTTGCAAGTCAGAGAAAAACAGGGATCCTGTTTCAGACGTGCTGGAAGAAAGTTTGCAGGACGAAACGGACCATGAATCCAATGCTGTCGATAACGCAAAAGGTCTTAGTGACTGTGAACCTAGTGTTTCGGGTAAGTTTATGCTGATATTTTTAGTGAGATATCGGATAATAGTTTGTAAACCCATAAATTGAAACCATCATTTGATCTAGTATTCTAAAAATACTTTATGTGGAAGATCCAAGTCTAATCCCTTAAATCCCTTACAAAAAAAGATTGCAGTTTTGAAACTGCAGTAAAAGTGGAGTAACTGCAGTCCACTGTGGTATTTTGGACGCAGTAATTGCAGAATAACTGCAGTTATACTGCACTCTAACTGCAGTTGCACTGCAAAATTACTGCAGTAAAAAAAAGTATTATTATTTTGGACGCAGTATTTACAGCATACTGCAGTTATACTGCACTCTGCAATTTTTTTCCCTAGGGGATCATTTCGTGGCTATAGCCTATGTGATGATAAACAGGCTATTTTACTCGCAGGATGCAACGCCTTTACGCATGAGGCAGCAGGATGTTATGCCATGGCAAACACATTTTTAGGCCTTATTTCAATGTATATATATATATATATATATATATATATATATATATATATATATATATATATATATATGTCATTAACGTATTATATGGCCGTGATAGTGTGGTTTATGAGGTGTGAGGTTAGATTTCAGACAACCTTGGATACATTTTCAGAACTAAGGCCTAAATGACGATTCCATCTTGTGCGCACTATCTCTTCTTTTAGATTCCAACAACGTAGAAGATGCCAGTTGTGATAAAAAATCGGATCAGCCCAAACAGAGGAAAAAACGCTCAAGGGCGGCGTTCTCCCACGCGCAAGTGTTCGAGCTCGAGCGGAGGTTCAATCACCAGAGATACCTATCCGGACCGGAGAGAGCAGACCTGGCGGCCTCCCTGAAGCTGACAGAGACGCAGGTCAAAATATGGTTCCAGAACCGCAGATATAAAACAAAACGTCGTCAAATGGCTGCCGACTTGATTGTCTCGGCCCCTGCAGCAAAGAAAGTGGCTGTGAAAGTGTTAGTTCGAGACGACCAGAGACAGTACAACCCCGGAGAACTACTGCGGCATCCTCTCCTCTCTCTCCAGCCGTCTTACTACTACCCCTACGCCTATTGCCTCCCTGCATGGACACACTCTACTTGTGCTGGGAATCAATGAGATTTGAATAGCCTACGTTGTATTTATTTTTCCCCCATCAGGAAATCGAGGCATTTGCTTTATTGACCTTTTAAGACGAAACCAGGAGAGATTAAATAAACTCAGAAATGCTTATGTCTCACATATTTGAACTGCCTAATGGTGTCTAGACTGAACATGTCCCCGTTTTTGGTATAGTGATGCCATTGTTTCCGAATGTAGCCCATGGAGTGTAAACCTTCCATGTATGCTACGAGTATTGGAGAGAGATATCAGAGCCCAAAGTGACATTTCGAATAACTCCATTACTGCTTTTCTTTTCTTGCTGTGGTGTAATAACGGTAAGATTTTCAGCACTTTTCGAAACAGAGATAGTGTGGACATACACTACCAGTCAAAAGTTTGGACACACCTACACATTCAAGGGTTTTTCTTTATTTTTACAATTTTTTACATTGTAGAATAATAGTGAAGACATCGAAACTATGCAATAACACATATGGAATCATGTAGTAACCGAAAAAGTGTTAAACAAATCAAAATATTTTTGATGTCTTCACTATTATTCTACAATGTAGAGAATAGTAAAAATTAAGAAAAACCCTTGAATGAGTAGGTGTATCCCAACTTTTGACTGGTACCGACATCCGACTGAAATATCGATGTGAAGGTATGTTTTACTGATTACCTTAAAGTGGACTTTGGCAGAGACAGTAACAATTGAACTCTTGTTAAAATGTACTTTTTTAAAAATTGTTCTAAAACTGATTGTTTATTAAGAGCGAAATCAAACATTAAAAACAAATCAGGCATATTATATTTCAAAGCTATCGTGTTTGATTCTAGCCTTAACTATGTTTAGATGGATGTCCTTTGTTCCTTTTTAGACTTTGAATTTATGTTAGTAGGCTATAATAGGGATTGTATTGACCATGATCAGTAGGCCTAAATGAATGGTAATTGTGTCATTAACCATTATTGTTGTCATAAAGATAACAAAAGTATAATGATAATAATAACTTAATCATAATTATGATCAGAATCATAATAGTAATAAGAAATGAAATACCCATGATGCATTGACTACATGAATGCATGTTCATCACAACAATAAATGTAGGCTTTTATTTTCTTGACCTAAATTACTAAATCAATTGGAGGTCATATATTACATCATACACTACGTTTATAACAGAATTTGGTCAGTTTCCTTTCATCATCCTCATAGCTTCAGGTAGGCCCGCCCACTGTATTCTGCAGCTATGTACCATATAGGCCTACAGCTGAGGAATTACCCTCAAATCAGTTACAAAATAACTGTTTGGTGATTATTTATTTACCACTGTATTTAAAATACTTTAAACAGTTCAGGAACTATTTATTATTTTAGTTAACGGCCAACATAGGACAATATTGCCTATTCCAAAATCAAGGGCGATACCGAAATTCAAACAGAAGCTTGGACTCTATAAACATTGAACAATTTTTTGCTGTACTCATTATTAGTAGGGTAAAACTAACTTGTCTCACGATGGTCTAATTAGATTGGGAGAGAAAGATTCTGCAAAGATGAAAACTGCAGGGTTCAAGAGCACTGGCCCAAAATGTGACTGTTTTAATTGCCTTATCTTCTTCCTGTGAAACTGAATAATTGATTGAATGAACTGGATTAATTCAATGTCAGAAAATGGAATTGTACTGATTCATATTATTTTAATGAGCTGAACAAAATTAATAGATATACAAATAATGAACCATAAAACGAACAATGATATAATTATTCTTATAATTATTAATTTATTTTAATTATTATTAGAAGTAAAGGTAGCCTAGTAGTCTGTTGTATATTGATATAATGACATCATAATCTTAGCCTATAGGCCTACATCTCGCTTATCTTCGTTTCCAGAGTTTCAATGAGAGGCTTGTAGCTGCCCTAGTTGGCACCACACACACCTCAGCGCTTCCACCCTTACTGCACAACTTCCTGACAGGTTGGCCATACACTAATCCTCATTTGCCTCCCCGCTAACACACCTGTCAGACAATAATTGTATTATTAAGTTATTATTATCATTTTGTTATCTTTATGACAATAGTTCCTGAACAGTTTAAAGTCTTTTAAATACAGTAGTAAATAAATAATCACCAAATAGTTATTTTGTAACTGATTTGAGGGTAATTCCTTAGCTGTAGGCCTATATGGTACATAGCTGCAGAATATGGTGGGCGGGCCTACCTGAAGCTATGAGGATTATGAAAGGAAACGGACCAAATTCTGTTATAAACGTAGTGTATGATGTAATGTATAACCACCAATTTATTTAGTAATTTAGGTCAAGAAAATAAAAGCCTACATTTGTTGTTGTGATGAACAGGTATTCATGTAGTCAATGCATCATGGGTATTTAATTTCTTATTACTATTATGATTATTATGATTATGATTATTAAGTTATCATTATCATTATCATTTTGTTATCTTTATGACAACAAGAATGGTTCATGACACAATTACCATTCATTTAGGCCTTAGTTTGCACCACACACACCTCAGTGCTTCCACCCTTACTGCACAACTTCCTGACAGGTTGGCCATACACTAATCCTAATTTTCCTCCCCACTAACACACCTATCAGACAAGGATTTATGTCTCCACAATTCCTGAACTATGTACACTGTCAGGGACCTTCAAGGTGTATGTCAACATGAAGATATCTACACCCAGGAGTGTTTGGGGGTTAAATCCAGTTGAATGATAGTGCAAAATGTTGATTTCCGCCTAAATAGTCATACCCAAAGGTAATTATTTTTCATGAGCTGGCCATAACCAATAACTTGTAATGTTGCATAGTTTGGAACTCACCTTTCTGGTACAAATAGTTATAAATTGTTGAGGTGTACTCACTTTTGAGGACACAAGCTCAAGTACATAGTACAAATATTATAAAAATATACAAAATTATACATATTTCTTTCCTATTTAACAAAAGTGGGGCAATAGGGCTTGAAATGACTGAAATGCTTTCTAAATATAGTAACAATCAAATGATAAACGACTTACTATCAAATTTCACATTTTTATAACTGTAAAATAAATATGATCATACTTAGTGACAGTACAATATTGGCACTATTTCATATAACTGTTGACAGAGAATATTATCCTAAACGTCCACTGAGCTGCGCAGACACCATTCAAATCAAATCAAATCAAATGTTATTTGTCACATGCGCCGAATACAACGTGAAATGCTTACTTACAACCCCTTAACCAACAATGCAGTTCAAGAAATAGAGTTAAGAAAATATTTACTAAATAAATTAAAGTAAAAAATATAATAGAAAGTAACACCAAAAAAATAACAATAACCAGGCTATATACCGAGTCAATGTGCGGGGGTACAGGTTAGTCGAGGTAATTTGTACATGTAGGTAGGGGTAAAGGATGAAGTGATTTCGTCCGTCTGTGACCAAGAGAAAGTGGTCTTCTTTAAATTCTTTTTTTTTTCTTCCTATTGAGAGCTCCAAATCCGTCTGAGAATATCACAATGGGTGGACTCGTTAGACTGTAACCGTTCATTTGCCATTTCCCAAGCTGGGCTCACTCGCTCAAAGGAAGAGATAATCTAATCATTGTCTCTATAGCCCAGAAAATGTGACACGTCACCACCTATGCAAATGTATGGTCTGAAACCTGACATTTCAAGTCAGCTCCGCTTAGAGAGTGGAAACGGAGAGCAGACGTATGGGGCTTTTTGGCATTATAAGGCACCGGACCCTACAGCGTTCACAGAGCGCTTTGTACACCAACATGTCAGTCGAAACCGGTCCAGAACCGCTCAAAGTCCCCATATGGGTGATTTAACATCTAAGAGGCTAAGGAGGAAAAGGGAGAGAAAAACGTAAGCCTATGTTACATCCTAATTCTCAGCTATGAAGACCGAGGCCAATGTTCGTTTGAGCACAGGCCGAACATTTGATCTACCAGAGGAATTTCAGCCCAAAAGATGTATCCTACCCAACAACTCTGGCTTGTTTTTGAGGCAGATAGAAAATAAGGCTACTGACTTTTATAACCACAACTAATTTCAATCTCGATACCATTTCGGTTAGATAGTTTTTTCATGGGCCAAGAAATAAACAACAAACAATATTATTTAATCAATCAGAGGAACTTTTATAGTATGTTTCAACATATCATCTCACAGACCAAAGCAACAGAAATGGTCCCAAGCACAAATGACATTTTAAACCGTATTCTGGAGAATTCTTCCACAAAGTTACAAATATCTTATCGACTACTGTTTATTGCTCATTTCTCTACAATATAACACAGCTAAGGATTACAAAAGAGAATTGGTCAAATGAAATACAGATCTGCGTTATTATTGTTTTATTCTGCACAGCCCATCCCACATCCCATTGACATGACATATCCGTCTCATACCTGCATATGAAGATATCTGATAAAGTGTGAAATATCCTGGCTGTTTTTCTGTTCAACTTCGGTGAAATACAAACACCCACAAAGGTGTGCAATAGCCCCATCCCATTGTCTTCTCATTAGAATTGTGTTCTAGCATGCAATAGGGAGGGAATATGCGTGTAGGTCTATTCGCAAAGCATAAAGACGGCTAAGAGATTGTTTGTCCTATGCCCGTACCATGGTAGGTCAAATTTGGAACACCATGTTATGTAACACGTTGGTAGGCCACAACTGTAGGCCTGTAATTTTGATCGGCTATAGGCCCGTGGCAACCCCAGTTATGTATAAATTATTTTCAACCATTACGTACATTAAAATAATTGAAAACGTAGGCTACGTCATGATTTTACATATTTTTTTCAGATTCTGAGCATGTCTGATTCATGCGCACGACATGGGCCATTCGCGCCAACCATTTGCAGAGATGTACACATAACCAAACACTTACGCACGAATTACGCATGTCCTAAAAATGGATTGTCTCTTCCAGGAAAACAATTATTTCACCCTTACTTTTTCTGTGTTGCACCTC